AGAAAAATTTATGATGATCCTAGTAATCCTCTTACCTATCCTAAATTACTTCAAACAGATAATGGGCGAGAATGGATGGGCGAAACCTCCAGATTATTGCAAGAGCATAATGTCACAATTCTAGTGATTGGTCCATATTCCCATCGAGGTCTTGCATTTGTGGAGCGTTTCAATCAAACACTCTCGAAGATTCTATACAAGATCCAGTATGCTATTGAATTAATATCTTCTGACCCTAAACTAATAAGAGCATGGGTTAGATTTTTACCGGTAGTTATTTATTATCTAAATAACTATCCCACACGCCTTATTCGAGAACCAGGATCAGAAAAATGGGGACTTGAACCTGTGAAAGCAATTGCTTTAGAACGAGTCGAATCTAGACTATCTACAAAATATAAGCGCCCAGTTGGAAAAGATGAAATAACGTTAAAGAAAGGTGATAATGTCCGTTACTTACTTGCCAATGCAGAATGGGAGGGTGGAATGGAGAATCAGAAACGCGCAACTGACCCTATATGGTCGCCTTCTATTCATAAAATCCGAAAAGTTATTGTTATAAAGAATGAGCCAGTATTATATTATCTCGAAGGTTATGAATTTACACCATCACGCGGGTTTGTGCAAGAAGAGCTCATGTTAATAGTTGATCCAGAAAAGGTCGGGTATCCACCCCAAAGCATATTATCTGTGCATATTGTTTATGCTTCTAATAATGAGACAAATCAGGCTGAGGAATATGCCAGAAGACGTGGTGGTCAATGTCTTGGAAGGACTGGGCGAATAAATGGTCATGGTATATATCTTTGGTCTTGTGAAAATGGTGCGCATCAGTGGGAGTATCCACTAAAATATATCATGAAAAAATTTGAATGGTGTCTTCTATGCCATCATACTAGCGAAAGGAATTGCCGATACATTTTTGAGGATCTGCTAGGCAAAAAATTCCCATCATGCAGGCCAAATTTTTTGGATGGAATGCAACTCGATGGATATAATGAGGAATTGCGTCTTGCATTTGAATACCAGGGTCCTCAACACTATCATCACAATAGCTTCTACCACCGGGATAATAAAAATCTAAAATCACAAAATATGCGTGATCAGAAGAAGCGGGATATATGCAAGAAGCAAGATATATGTCTTATTGAAGTGCCATATACATGTGATCTTTTTCCCTATATTAAGCATACTCTAATCGAGAAAGGGTTCTTGAGTAATTCTCCAAGCTAGATCGGAGAGAAATATTTTCTTGATAGGTTTAGAATATCATTAGTAAAAGATAGTTCAACATGAAAATAAAGAAACTTGAGCCAGTTGAAAGGCTGGTATACCATATTAACGAGATCAAAGATGCCCAAAAATACAATGCCAATTCGAGTGTTCCCCAATGGCCTTTCACATTACTAATTTCAGGCCGTACTAATTCAGGGAAGACTAATGAGGTTCTCAATCTCATGCTTGGAAATAAGCTTTATCGAATGTTTAATGGGAAGAAAGGAGGGACGCGTTATATCAAGAATGATGATTTGCTATTAATTGGCCACAATCTTGAGGAGCCGAAATATATGTACCTCGAATCGGCGTATCAGATAATTGCAAATAGTCTAAGGCCATATCGTGAAAATATCACATTCCGGGCTTTGGAGCCTAATAAGATTCCTAAGATAAATTCATTTTTTCCAAAAACTGGTACGGTGGCTATATTCGAAGATGTATGTGCTGATCCAAAGGAAGTGCAAAAGAAAATTATTCCTTATTTCATTGAAGGACGCCATTACAATGTCAGTTCGATATATGTATCCCAGAGTTACTTTGACTGCCCAAAGATAATACGAAAAAATCTTACACATGTCTGCCTATTTAACGGGTCCTGCACTACGGACGAGCTAGTTAGAATTGTGCGTCAATATGCCAATGACTGGCGTAGTGTGATTAAGATTATTGACAAGGCTTTATGTGAACATAAATTCATTGTTTTTGATTTAACAGTACCCCGCGAACACCCACATAGGATACGCCTCGGCTGGGACCAAATTCTTGAAAAAAGTGCCCTAGCTAATGAATAGAATCCCCCCTCAAAGCTATTAATGAAGTGAGACGAAATGTATATTTTTTCTGGATTTCTAGATCATGTTCAGATTCACTATGCCTCTTCGCCCATAATTTCCTTTCATGAGTGTTAGAATATATTTCCGGTTCTATAGTCACATCACTATGCTCCGTTTTAGAAAGGATCTGATCAACAAGAGCGATAATTTTCCTATCCTTAGCAGAAATAATATCCTCCAGATGCTGGCATTTATTCTCTAACATGTCAATGGACTTTTCTGCCGATGCAATAGCTTTCTTCGTATCAGGAATTATACTTTTGAATAAAGCTATCGAATCTGATAATTGGGTGACTTTCTCGCCACTCTCCTCCAAAGACCTGGTCATAGCTACCTCACGAGACTTATACTGCTCTTGCAATTCGAGAAGCTCTTCAATCTTTTTTTCCAATACCTGCTTTGATATACA